CCCCCCCCCCACCCCCACCTTCTGATCTGTTTACCCTTTCTACTAAAGCTGATAGCCAAATTTGGGATCTACCTTTAGATTTGAATTAGTTTGTGTATGTGCGTATTTGTACATACATATTTCTTCTTTTTATTTTTTAATCTTCAATTTACGTGCCCACCCTACCGTATTTTATCCTTATTTTACTCTCATTTTTATGCTCCATTGTTTCATAGCAGCCTGAAATACTTACTGGGCCAAGGTGGAGGTGTAAATGAAATAATCCCCAAGACCTCAGAGATAATCCATGGTTCTGGAAATAGAAAGCAGTAGGACTAAAAGATACTGCTGCCTTTCTTTGGAGGCTTTGGGCCACCACTCTAACTTTAGTAGGGATGTTTTTTGTGTCCTCTATTGGAAGAGCTCGGCTGATCTCCCCAACTGAGAATGCCTAACAGGTTCCACCGTGCTTCTGCTGTGGACTAACTTGGGGAGGATCCTTTGGAGTGTGCTGTTTTCTCTCACAGTCACTCATGCAGTTGTGCAGATGGGAAACTCTGTGTGAATCCAGTGTATCAGTATCTATAGAATGTTTTTGATTATCTATAATTAATAACATTAGCCTTAGTTTTACTTCCTTATGGTAATGCATGCTATTTCCATTGGATTTGTTATTCTACGCATTAGTTTCTGCTTTCCTGTACACAAATACTTAACTAAATTGAGATTTTCTAAATTGCTTTTTCCTGAACTGCTGACTTTTATAACTTTCAGCCTTACTCACATTTTCATTTTCTACCTATGTATGTATGTTAGTCCCATGACTATTGAATGCCATCTGCTATATCTGTTATTTCATTAATGTTTCCTCTGTCTTTAGCTTATGAATAAAGATGAAACACTCTGCCCTGACCTCTTCGCTACCATTCTTGACATTTTAAACCAATTAGACAAAAATACAGCTTGTTATTATGACTCTTTGCCTAATAGATAAGCTGATCTTGTATTCTTACAACTATGGTTTTTATCCAAGCCTATTTTGTAATGAAAATTTCATCTGATTTCATCAGATAAGTTTGAGAAGTTCAAACACATAACATCTGTTACATTCTCTTCATCCCTTTATTCTATAAATCCATGAATAAAATCTGAATAAATATCTACCCAGCATGAGATTTTTTTTTTAGAAAAATAAAACCACAAAGCAGGTAGGCTTTGATTTACACATCTTTGTGAAGCTTTGTATGGATTGTCTGTTAATATTATATTTTTTTGTCCAAAAGTGAGTTAAAATATATGCTACAACTAATCAGATACCACGCTTTACAAAGGAAGAAGGAAGAAAGAAGGAAAGAAAAACTATTTTTCTTTATGGACCTCTGCTTTCTGTTGATTTCATGTGCATGAGATTTTTCTCATTTTAATGTTATCAAATCTAGACGAGCTTCATAAACTGGAAAAATGGACAGGAGAACTCATTCTTTTTCTTTTGAATTCTCTCCTCTTCCTAGACTTGATCATTTCAAAATGAGAAAAGTCTTATGCACATGAAATCAACAGAAAGCAGAGGTGGGGCAACAAATGGTTTAAGTAGCTGCCTCTGGAGGAATGTCTGGAAAGGAGTTTTAAAAAGAGTTTGTTCTGTGCACAAAAGGCAGCTCTTAAAGAAATGAACCTGGGGAAAAATTAAAGGAGTTGTATGGGGCCTGCAAGACCAGGGATACCAAGAATACTCCAGAGTCTTTGTCTCTCTCATTGTGCTTGTAGACTGTATGGATATACTAGTCCCGTGCCCTCACGCTAAGGGAGGGGCTCCAGAACAAAACAGCCTGGGTTTAGTTACTTGCCCTTAAAGTGATTTTTCTTACTGTCCTGACTATCCCGTGCTGGCTTGAACATACCAAAGAGTAAATTATACTCTCCTAAGAAGAATCAATTTTTATCACTTCTAGTGTTTATACTGAGGTTTTGCCATTCACGGTCAATTGATAAAACGGAAATTTGGCCAAAGTAAATGTTAGATAGCTTAGCATCACTCTGATTTAGACTCACAAGTCTTTTGTACTTGTGCTGAGCCAAACCAAGGAGATATTAAGTTGAGTAAGATTTTTCTTTAGCCAAATTTGGGTTATATCATCACAAGCTTGAGAAATACGAGCCAGATCGGTGACTTTTAATGAGCACTAATGGGTCTTTTGCACTGAAAACAGGAACAGGCAGAGAAGGTCCATGATTGGCCTTAATGCACCAGTAGTGATAGGGATCTTTATCAAGAGCTTTATTTGCTGGGTTTTTGTTTTTGCTGCTAACAGTGTTGTTGACATAGGGTTATGAAATGTGTTTTTTGTTTTGTATTCAGTCAAACAATGCATGTTTGTAAAAGTTCAGTTTCCTTTTCCGACACCTCTTTTATTTGACTTGTACTGTCCATTTCATTTTTGATGTAAAGTTCACTTAAATTCAAAAAGCAATAATTAAAATGTTCTGATACATCAGCCTTCGCCCTTTTATTTCTCTTGCTTTTATCTGTCTACTTGCTACCACCATAAAACTGTGACCTTCATAACCCTAAAAAGTTTTGGGGCACCTGGGTGGCTCAGTTGGTTAAGCATCAGTTAAGCGACTCTTGATTTCAGCTCACATCATGATCTCATGGCTCAGGAGTTTGAGCCCTGTGGGATTCGATCTTGGATTTCTGCCCCTCCCCCATTCGTGCACACACACACACACACACACACACACACACACACACACACATGCTCTCTCAAAATAAAATAAACTTTAGGGGGAAAAAAATTAAAAAGTTTGTTTTGTATTTGCTGTATATGCCTGAAGTGTTGAGCAAGATCTTTTCATTCCGTATGTCAGAACTCCAGCAGAGTCCAGTGCTGTAACTTCTGGAATCTCCAGTAAGCCTCCCAGTCCCTGGAAAGTACTTCGTCAGGACTCATAGAGTCCTTTGGTACATGTACAGCTCAGTATTTGGACAGAGATGCAAAGAATCCTAGTAGAGTATTTCAGGTTTCTTCAGCTCCTCTTCAGCTCTCCTCTCTAGTACCTTGTCCCACAAGGTACACTCGCTTTTTAGTATCCTGACTCCGGTCTTTTTTTTTTTTTTTTTTTTTTTTTTTTTTTTCCTTCGTCCAGTGAGATAGCTCTGCATCTTATTTGTGTTTAACTTCACTATGTTGCAATTTGGAAAATACCACCCAGCATAAAACTGGCAGTGTATTATTTTTTTCTTTTACAGATCACAACCCTGTACTGTCTATTATCCAATGTCTGAAAACATAAAATATATGAAGCCACTTATTTTATAGGGGGAGGGTAGGTGGGATATACATGATTCCATCATGGCTGAAACCAGTTCATTGAGTTGATTTTTATCATGGTAATTTCTTGATTTTTTTTTCTTCAAGTGAATTAGTAGTTCTAGATGTTTGGTGATACATTTCCAGAAATGCCACATGGAATCTATTAAGCTTCTAGATATGAGCTCATTTTGATGCTATTCTGTAAATATTGATAGATTCAGCAATAAACTTTATAAGCTTTACTATTTTGAGCTCCATGATATTAGAGAAGCTGGGAGTAGTATGCCAATTATAAGAACAGCATAAAGACTTTCTTTTAACTTCAAGAAGTTTCCATAACCCTTCAAAAGACAAAGCAGGCAAACAGTTGACAAAGATGATGGGTAACAAACAGTGGAAATTGAAGTTGGCCGGATAACAATCATATCCAGCATTTAATGACCCATGAACAATTTGAGCTCTTTACATAAATTATCTGATTTAATCATATAAACAATTTTGTGATGTGATATTTCCATTTTTAGCTCAAAAATGAGAAAATTGATGATTAAAGAAGTTAAATAAAATATTGAGTACCAGTGAGAGCCAGAGTTCAAGTCCAGGTCTGCTCAGTGTTTCAGAGTCTGAGCTTTTAACTCTACAGTAGTAGAAACGGCTGCATGATAGAAATGGGAATCCTAATTACAGGTAAGATTTTGTAAGAGGCAAAAAGCAAAGAGAAATAAAATGACCTCAAGGAAAAATGGTGTGTGGAACCACCCTCGTTGGAACAGATGCTACCAAAACATATTTGAGTTGAAGAACAAGATAATTGTGTATGAAAACATTGTTTAAGAAAGTTTTTCTTGGGGCGCCTGGGTGGCGCAGTCGGTTGAGCGTCCGACTTCAGCCAGGTCACGATCTCGCGGTCCGTGAGTTGGAGCCCCGCGTCAGGCTCTGGGCTGATGGCTCAGAGCCTGGAGCCTGTTTCCGATTCTGTGTCTCCCTCTCTCTCTGCCTCTCGCCCGTTCATGCTCTGTCTCTCTCTGTCCCAAAAATAAATAAACGTTGAAAAAAAAAATTTAAAAGAAAGTTTTTCTGGCAGCAAAAAAGGCTGAATATGATTAAAAAAAGGATTGAGATCAGGGAGACCTCTAGGAGACTTATTTATAGTAATCCCATAATGACTGATTAAAAACTAGACTCTGGGTGATCATATTGTGAATGGTGGAGAGAAGTAATACAAAGATAGTTCAAGTGAAAAATGGATCAGAACTTGATTACAGACTAAACTGAGAAGTACAAAAAGGAGCAAGTCAAAAATGCTACCACATTTTTGTTCAGGAGGTGGGGGGCGGGGGGGGGCGGCAGTCGGGGGAAAGAGGGCGAGGACAGGAGTTGACTAATAAAAACAGGAGGAAAGCCAGGGTAGGGAAGGATAATGAGACCCAGTTGACCTTGAGGTTCCTGCATAGCTATCCAAATGGAGTGTTCTGTTAGCATTTAACAGTATAGACTTAGAGTTTTGATACAAGGACAGAAATGTAAAAATGTGAAATATCAGAATTCATATACTCCCTTTGTGCTTCTACTGCAGATTCCTCCCATCTAGACTAAAACATTTTTCATTAACTAACTGTGCATTTATTAAAGATAATATCAAATATCTGTTTCTGTTTTACAGAAAGAAATTCTGGAACAACAGCAGCAAGAAAGAAATGATAACAATTTTCATGGTATTTGTATGTTTTGCAATGAGGAGTTTTTCGGGAACAGGTTTGCCTTTGTGCATTTCTTTAAATATTATTGTTTTTCATCTGAAAACTCATCAAAACACCCATAATGCTTATGTAATTTAAGTTCTGTAGGTTGGCTCAGGACCCTTTCCTATATTACCAGTAATTTTTTTCTAATATGCCTAATATCAACCATGGACTATAGTGGCTCTAAGCAGAAAAGAGGAGTAACTTTAAAAATTTTTTTTCTTTTACTTTCTTCCAACTTTTTAGTCTCCAGTACAGTGAAATATTTGTTTTAGGTGTAGAATATAGTAATTCATCACCCATATACAACACCCAGTGCTCATCACATTAATACCCATTATTCCTTAATACCCATTATTCATTTAACCTATCCACTGCCCATCTCCCCTCCAGTAACCATCAGTGTGTTCTCTACAGTTAAGAGTCTATTTCTTGACTTGCCTCTCTTTTTTTTTTTTTAATGCCAAAAATAAATTTGTGTTTAATGTTGTAGGACTTTTTAAATTGGCTGACAGGCAAGACCATGTACAATGAACTACTACAGACACACCCTTCTATATTGTTAACCCTAAACCTTTAGCAGTTTTTGATGTTTTCACTTTTGGATATTAGAAATGATAAAAATCTAGGGGCACCTGGATGGCTCACTCAGTTAAGCATCTGACTTTTGGTTTCAGCTCAGGTCATGGTCCCAAGGTTTGTGAGATGCAGCCCTCATCGAGCTCTTTGCTGACGGCACAGAGGCTGCTTAGGATTCTCTCTCTCCCTCTCTCTCTCTGCCCTTCCCTGCTCATGCTCACTCTGTCCTCTCTCAAAACAAATAAATAAACTTAAAAAAAAAAAAACAAAAAACTTTTTAATGATAAAGATCTAAAAAAAACCAACACCCAAAAACAAAAACTGGGGTATTGTTAATTCCTTAGCACAAACTGGCATTCTGTAATTCATTTCTAACATTAACTGCCCAGAGTTAGGATCAGACTCTGCAGGTTTAAGGGCATCCATCATTTTCAACAAGACTGCCTCTACTTTAGACACCAGCCACAAGTTCAGTTGACCAACTGGCTAAAAATTCAGATTCTCGCCAGTAATTTGCATAGTTCAGTAATTTACCGGAATGACTCACAAACCTCAGAAAGTGGTATACTTAAGATTGCAGTTTTGTTATAAAGGAACAGCCAAGTGAAGAGATCAGGAACAGCCAAATGAAGAAATGTATAGGGCAAAATCTGGTAGGGTCCTGAACTCAGAATTTCTATGCCCTTTCCTCAAGGAATCAAGACACATCACCCACCCAGCTCATCAAGGTATTCACCAACCAGGAATCTTCACTGAGCTTTGGTGCCCAGAGTTTTTAATGAGGCTTCATTTTATAAGCTTGATTGATTCAGTCATTGAATTTAATCTCTACATTGCTCCCATCTCCAGTCTCCAGACCCCTTCTGTCTCTAGAGGTCTGACTGGCTCAGAATCTCAATCTTTTAATCACATTGTTAGTCTTTCTGTTGACCAGCCCCCATTCTGAAGCTAGCTAGGGACCTATGGTGAGTTGCCTCCTTAGCATAACAAATAGTAAGTTCCTGGGGTTTTAGAAGCTCTATGCCAGGAATCAAGGACAAAGGCCAGACAGATTTCTCGTTATACAACAGTTAATATTTACAGAAGTACATCATTTTCTAAACTTTTTTAATGTTTAAATATTTATTTTGAGAGGGAGAGAGAGAATCCCAAGCACACTCTGTACTGCTGGTGCCAGAGCACAACACGGGCTTGACGTGGGCTCTGTGGGCTTGAACTCATGAAAACGTGAGATCATGACCTCAGCTGAAATCACGAGTCCATCACTCAAATGACTGAGCCACCCAGGTGCCCCTACAAATGTACATCATTTTTTTTAACATTAAAAAAAAAAATTTTATGTTTATTTTTGAGAGAGAGAGAGTGTTGTATGTGAACAGGAAGAGCAGAAAAAGGGAGACACAGAATCCCAAGCAGGCCCCAGGCACTGAGCTGTCAACACAGAGCCCGATGTGGGGCTCAAACTCACAAAGTTATGTGGAAAAGGAAAATTTTATGTAAATTTATCTAAGTTTTACATAGCAAAAATGCTTACGTGTAAAAATATGTTATTCTATTGAGCATTATTGTCTGGAAAACACTGAAAAAGAGAGGATAGGTACACAGATAAAGTACTTGCTAGAATTCAGAAAATGTTTTGATTGAAACACTGATGTTAGAACATCACTAATGAAGATTTGATTCTTATATAGGTCAGTTGGCATAGAGAAAAATCTGTGCCAAAAGGTACTGTGAAATACTCCACCAAATACTAGTTTTATTCAAAGTTATCAATAGTTAAGCACTTAGACAAACAGAGCATATTAACAATGAGATTAATAAATGTGACCCTACATAGTTAAAAAAAAAACAACATTTTCATAGGGATGGATGCTTTATTTCATTTTCTAAAGGAAAAAAAATAATAATCCTAGAAACAATTATTTTGGGTCAGCTAAGTGTCTAAATAAAGTAGATAAAATAAACTGTATAATGTATCAGTATGCATAGTCTATCAATGGTTTGTGTATTAATGAGTTCCCCAAAACTGTCACCTTTATTTTATGAACTAAAGTTGTGATAAAGGGAGTGCTTGGCTGGCTCAGTTGGAAGAGCATGTGACTCTTGATCTCAGTGTCGTGAGTTCAAGCCCCATGTTGGATGTAGAGATCACATACAAACATACATAAAAATAAAGTTGTGATAATGGCCCAATAGAATAACATATTTTTACACATAAGCATTTTTGCTATCTAAAACTTAGATAAATTTACATAAAATTTTCCTTTTCCACATAAACTATTCAACAGCCTGGTGACTGTGTATTCAGTGTGTCAAAACCCTTGCATATAATTGATGTGTGAATGGTGGGTTCCAGATCTCTGTCCAATAGTGAGTTAAATGTCTCTGATTCCAGGACATGCATAGCAGGACATATTTCCCTTTGGCAGTTGTCTCTTCCTCCTCCCATGATAAGTTGGAAAAGTCAGCAAACACTTTTTTTTTCACTTAAAGGAGAGAAAACTAATTCATACATAGAGTATATTCCTGTCTACTGGCAAATAATGGAACAAATTTGGACTCACTTTACAAAGAATTCATGTGATTATATGTGTACTTAAATACTTTATAACATATCACTGTTTCATAGCCCAAAAGTGTGTTGTAGTGTTTAACCTTTGCATGTACTTCTGATTAGTGTTATCATTTTGAAAATGCTGTTCCTGATCTGATTTTTTACTAGATGATTTATAAATAGTATAAATTGCTCATATTTCTTCCTAGATCTGTTCTTTTGAACCACATGGCCAGAGAACATGCTTTCAACATTGGCTTGCCAGACAACATTGTAAACTGCAATGAATTTCTGTGCACATTACAGAAAAAGCTTGACAAGTAAGTATTTTTTTTTTCCATGAAACATATCCTGCAGTTATTTTAATTTTCAATTATGTTGGGAATTTTTTTTAAATGTCTGTTGGGAATTTTTAAAAATTAATCTAGGGGCGCCTGGGTGGCGCAGTCGGTTAAGCGTCCGACTTCAGCCAGGTCACGATCTCGCGGTCCGTGAGTTCGAGCCCCGCGTCGGGCTCTGGGCTGATGGCTCAGAGCCTGGAGCCTGTTTCCGATTCTGTGTCTCCCTCTCTCTCTGCCCCTCCCCCGTTCATGCTCTGTCTCTCTCTGTCCCAAAAATAAATAAACGTTGAAAAAAATAAAAATTAATCTAAAAGAAGTAATTAACAAAATGGAATTTTCTCATTTCTCATGTTGGAAAAGTTCACGTTTTGCATCACAATGTTGTTCATTTTGTCTAGATCATATTGCCTTTTACCATTTTTTAAATAAAAGTATCATATATACCAAACAATGTACATACCATAAAAAAGTATATAGGGTAGAAGAGTATTCTCTCCATCCAACCAAAGAAATAAAACATTATAAATTTCCTTGAATCTTTATATGTATCTCCTCACTAGTATCTCCCCATTTTTTAATTTTGTATTCGTAATTCTTTTGCTTTACAGTATAAGTTTTCACATATTTAGTAAATATATTGTCAAATTGTATGTTACTCAGCTTTATATCAGACATAACGTGCTATATCCATTCTTTTACCTTTAGTATGTATTCACATTTATATATCATAACATTCCACTTTTCCTAAGGTCATATTCTGGTGACCATGGGTATCTAGAGCTTAGCTTGTTAAAGTAAGGAAGAAATTCTATGGGTCACTAAAATGGCTTTCAAAAATCTATCTACTTTTCTTTCTAGAACAGGGCCCAATATTTTTCTCTCACAACCTAGGTTTTTTTGGTTTTTGGGTTTTGTTTTCAAATAAAATCTCAGCCCACAATATTTGAAGCAATAACATTAAGAAAAATGTATTAATTAACACAGATCTGTTATTAAAAGTTCTGAATTCAAATTCTGGTACCAGCACTCCACTACAACAAGTCTTTTCACTCATATTAAATGATCCTTCATTTATAAAATAATACTAGATGTATTTTCTAGCAAGATTAGCATAATGAATATCCCTAGTTAGTTTATTTATCCCATAAACTATAGTTATTTCTGTGACACAAGAAATGGTTAAAAGAGTGTTTAGTAGTGATGACACAAGAATTCAAAATTTGAACTGATTTCAGTCATTTGAGAGTTTTCATGTGCAAGGAAGATTAGACATAACCTGTGTGACTCCAAGAAATAGAACTCTAACTAGACTGCTAGGGAGAAGTTACAGGCCATATGAACTGTCAGACGTAGGATGAGGAAGATATTTTATTAGCAATCTGTTCATTTTCAGTAGAAAATGAATGACAACAGAGAGGGCAAGTAACTTGACCAAGTCCCATAGTTAAATATGTACTGGAAGTAGGAATTAACCCTTGCAAATCTACGCATGGGCTAATTTGTTGTACTCAATGGAGGCAACCAATGCTAGTTATCAATCAGCATAATTATTTGAAGAACATGCCTATGTTTTCATTTTTAGAAGAGATCATTTGATTAGAAAACACTAAAATAATTTTTGGATCTTAGCTATCTTTGTCACGGTTTGAACTGCATAGCCAAGTTGGCTAACTTAGCCAACTACAAAATAAACCATGCATGCATCCCACAAAGTCAAAGAAATAAAGTGAGAGGGTTCCAACAAGGATGTCATATCCCAGTTGAAGAGTCTTTGTGACCTAAAATGAGTAATCATAAGAGTTAATAATAAAGGGCTATTGCAGCAACTATCCAAGAGACTTGTGTAATCTGTCAATGTTTGTGCATTTCTTTTAGCTTGCAGTGCTTATACTGTGAGAAGACCTTCAGGGACAAAAATACACTTAAAGATCATATGAGGAAAAAACAGCATCGGAGGATCAATCCTAAGAACAGAGAATATGACCGATTTTATGTCATCAATTATTTGGTAAGCCTTTCTCTTCATAATTTAAAATTTGCATTTCCATGAACAAATATCTTTCCAAGGGCTGTCTAATATTTAAACAAGCAATTAGTAGAAAGGTCAAAATGCAATCAAGGGACACTTTCAAGCAGTGATTAGCTTTAACATGGTTAGTTTATAAATCTCAACTTGATTTGGTTTGTCTTTGATTTGCCAGAATTTTACACAGTAAAAATGTCATGCCTGTAGGATTCATAGTGATCTTGAACAAAAAAAAGTAATAATAGATATAAGGTACTTGGATATCCACGTATTCTCTCCCATTTGTGATATTATCTATTACCTTGAGTCCAGAGACTATATTCTCTACAAAAAACATCTCTTGACAGCTGGATGTGCTAGGTGTGCTATGCTAGATAACCCTTTAAAAAAACCAATCTTTTACTCTTTCCTCTTTCCCCTTTAAAAAAATCTTCCCTTCCCCATAAAGAAAAAAAAGTATCATCCTCCTTGGCCAGCATATCTTTGATGGAAATTTTAGAGAAACCAAATCATTTCACTAGGCAAGAGGACTTTTACTTGTTTGGCTAATAGAACGTAATAATGGAGTTATCATGTCGAGGATTTTAAATATATTAAAAGCTTTCCTTCCTTAGAAACCTCAAAACCACTTGCTGACCTTTTTGGTTAAGAGAACATATTCAGCTGGTGCAGCACGCGTCACTGGGGGGGTATTTGGAAATGTGAGAGGGGATTCTGAATGACACAGTGACTGGGAGTGCTAGCTCCCTGCCCTAGTCTGCTGAATTTGGGGGGGGGGGGGGCTGTACATTACAAAGGAGAGGATCCACTCGTTTAAAGAAAGGAGTTAAGGAACTCTCTGCTGGAATTAGAAGAAAGCTAGAGAGTTCTCTTTCCCACATGTTTCTTAGGCAAATGGAAATTATTTTTTTTCCTTGCAATAGGAAATTAGAATCAAGCTCAGTAGCCACAGAAGGCATAACTGATTATAATCAACCATTTTATCTGTTGGGCAGAAACAAGCATATCCTGAAATATGGTGGAACTCTCTGCTGGAGGGTGGAATTTTTGTCTGTTCTAACTAAACCTTATAGCGTTAAAGTAAAATTCCCCTTGAGAAGCAAGTTTGACATGTGTTTGAAGATTGACTCCGAGAGGTTGCCATGATCTGCTACAAATGTTTTACAACTAGCTAAAGGCAAAGGCACCCTCTGAGTCCTTCAATCTTCTCTAGAAATCAGTCATTCATTCCTAGAACAAACGCCGCTTCAGGGCCAGCCCAGTCCAATGGGGAGTAGACCTCAGTGTTAGCCCTAAGAAATCCCACCTATTGCAGAAAGCTGTGGAAGCAATTTAACAGTACTTCCTTCCGGGGATCTTTTAAAATGATATTCAAGACCTTGGGACTAGCAGAACATTATACAGCTGGAGGTATTTACCTTTTAGAGGAGACTTCAAAAGGACTGCTCACTCAAATTCTGCTGGCACTTTTAGAAAAGTATGATACTTTATTCTCTGGGCATCAAGTAGTGTGTCTGTCAAAACTGAAATTATCTACAAGGACCAGCTGTCTCTAGATGAGCATGCTAGATTTTACTGCCCACTGACTGCCCAGATGTCATGTGGCATGAATCATAGCCTAAGAGAAGTGTTTCAAGAGAATATAAAGACTTTAATAATATATAAAATGAAAATTAAATCACTTTAGAAAAATGGTGATAAATAGCAGTAATTTTTTTCTTTTAACTAGCAACATTTGAGTACTTGATATGTGCCAGACACCATCTTGGGTATTTATATTAAACCATTTACTCTTTTTTTTTTTTTTTTTTTTTTTTTTTTTTAGAACAAGGTAGAAGGATTGCCTTTTCTCTACATCCTCATCAACACTTGTTACTTCTTTTTTTTTTTTTTTAATTTTTTTTTTTCAACGTTTATTTATTTTTGGGACAGAGAGAGACAGAGCATGAACGGGGGAGGGGCAGAGAGAGAGGGAGACACAGAATCGGAAACAGGCTCCAGGCTCCGAGCCATCAGCCCAGAGCCTGACGCGGGGCTCGAACTCACGGACTGCGAGATCGTGACCTGGCTGAAGTCGGACGCTTAACCGACTGCGCCACCCAGGCGCCCCAATTAAGCCATTTACTCTTAAGCATATCCCTATGTCACAGGTTTTATCTTTATCACCATTTTATAGATTAGGAGATTAGGCACAGGTCTTTTTCCAAGGTCACATAGTTAGAACAGAATACTTAACCTCTCTGTGTATCCATTTTATAATTTTTCTCAATGTTTACAGTTGAAATAATACTAGTACCTACCTCTTACTTTGTTGGTTGAGTTTTTGGTCAAGTAATGGTGATGAACTCATAATGATCACCTTCTTGCCTGTTCTCTTTTGTACCAAACTAGAAAGTGATTCAAGGTCAAAGAAAAGCTGACTTCAACAGGCTCCTCAAGGGCTCTGACCCACAACCTTAGCCTTCTTAGCCCTATATGCTTTCCCACTGAGGTAAATAGCCCACAATAATAAGAATGATTTAAAAAAATAAAACCTAGGGGCGCCTGGTGGCTCAGTCTGAAGCTTCTGACTTGGGTTCAGGTCATGATCTCATGGTTTGTGAGTTCAAGCCCTCTGCTGACAGCTCAGAGCCTGGAGCCTGCTTCAGTTTCTATGTCTCCCTTTCTCTCTGCCCCTGCCCTGCTTGCTCTCTGTCTCTCTCAAAAATAAACATACATTAAAAAAAATTTTTTTACACAAAACCTAAAATATGTTATGATTAGCTGTAGCATTTTGGAATGATGTAAACTTAACTCAGAAAAGGATTGAAGAAGGGGCGCCTGGGTGGCTCAGTAGGTTAAGCATCCAACTTCAGCTCAGGCCATGATCTCACCATTTGTGAGTTCAAGCCCCGCATCAGGCTGTGTACTGACAGCTCAGAGCCTGGAGCCTGCTTCGGATTCTGTGTCTTCCTCTCTCTCTGCCCCTCCCACACTCACACTCTCTCTCTCTCTCAAAAAAGCAAATAAATAATTTTTTTTAAATTAAAAAAAAAAATGACTGAAGAAGCTAATAAAGTCTCTAATGATGTAGAAGTGTCCTCACATAGAGAATTGCTTACCAGAAGTATCAACCTTAATAATATCCTGAGTATTGTAGTAAATAAAAGGCATCATAACAAATAGAACGAGTATATAAACAACTGTTCCCAATATTAATAATGTGTAGTTAGAGAAAAATGAGGCCCAGAGATTTCTCAGCATCCTTTTAGTTTTCTTTTAGACCCCATTACTGAAAATATTTAATATTTCATAAAAATATTTAATATGAAGAATGAATTCTTCTAAGAGTTTAAGCAATGAATAATGACGTTGCTTTATTTTCAAAGATGGGAAAAACAATACTGAGAGACATTCACTGTGTATTCCTCTGAGGGAAGAGGCTTACATGACTGAGGAAAGTGGGCCAAAAAGAGAAGAACTATTGTTATTAGTCGTCAGGGTCTGCATACCCATTTCTCACATCCTCTTCCCTGTAAGAGTCACTTTAACTGGCTTTATACATTCTACAAACATTTGAGTGCCTTCCAGGTACCAGACACTGGTGGAAGAGGAAGAAAAATATTACGGACAAGGTGGTTAATTTAAGTCCCTACTCCCAGAGAGTTAAAGGTTGGTATGAGAGACAGGCGTGTAAGCACGTAATTTCAGCACCTCGGAATGGGGTGTATGAAGTTAATGCTTGGACCTCTCCTGTAGCACATTAATGCAGTAATTGAGTCATGGGCCCACAGAGTTGCTCACCTCCGCTCCAAACAGAATCTCCAGGCCAGCAGTGCTGGCAGCATCCAGGATATTCCTGGCAAGATGCCCTCTGATAGTCATCAAAGGTGAGAGAGCTAAGGACAGAGGCTGGTTTTGGCTCTCCTCTGAGCTCAGCGAATTGACAGATACATTTTTCTTCCTTAGGTGAGATGATTTCCATGTTTAATAATTCATATCAGTTTTTGAATAATAACAGACTTGCAAATACATAAAAAGTCCCTATGCATATTCTGGATTACCTACTTACGGGTTCTTTCTTTGTTTTCTCACAAACAAAAGGGCTCAATGGCTAGGGGGGATGGCCAAGGGGACAATTTCACAGGCAGTTTCACATTCAGATTCCCCTGCCTCAGAGGGAAATGAACTGTGTACATCATCATTGAGCCTTCAGCTGCCTATTCCTAAGGTACTCCTGTTTCAAGCCCTGAATTTTCCTAAAGGAAACTGTTTTTGCTGTGGCTTTATCGTTTTTTGATTTCTATTTTTTTATTCTTAAAATATACAGAGCCATTTGTAACAGAATTGTGCTCTTAACCTGTTTTCATAGTTTTGGTATAGTTCTCTCTACTGAAATTATTAACATTTAAGACACCTCTTTCTCTGTTTATGATGGGTTTTTTGTGTAAGTACATAGAAGTTTGTGTGTGGAGCGGTGGGGGTGCTGGGTGAAGAGGATTTTTTTTTTGTTTTTCTTGTCCACCCTCTCATTGATCATAAACCATCTGATGCAGGAGGTTGAGGGGGTGTTCTGAACATCTTTACTGACATGCCTTCCAAACTTTGTTTTTTTTTTTAATTCTTTGCTTTCCTAACATGATTCATTAGCGGGCACAGAATCTTAATTAGGGAGTTCTGTGCTCTGTTTTGTTTTTTTTTTTTTCTTCTTTTTGGGTCTTATTCCTATAATAAACTATATATATTCGACTCTACATGGCAGAGCATTCTAGGAAAGTCTGGGCCAATGTCACCTGCAAATCACTTGTTACCTACTACACTAATGATCACGGAGTTCCATTTTCCTCTCAAATGGTAAACAGTTAGTGCTGTATTGCCTAGAAAAATTCCTACGTGTTCTACCAAATACTGAGAAAATTGCACAATAATGCTTTGAGTTTGGAAGTTTGATACTGAAAGATATTTTATGTCTCTATGGCCAAAACATTTATTGATCAACAACATTTGCCCATATCACTGAAAATGGTAATAGATGGCCCTTCCTTGAATTAATATCTTGCAGCAATGACCTTAAAGTACAAGTCCGGAGAGACCAAGTAATCCATGAAAGATTTAATTCATCACGAAAAATTCCAACTAACAAAGATCCCATTGGCAGTTTTGAGGCCATTCTTGGTGTCCATAATGAGGTTCAGACATTTCGTGACAACTCTGGGAAATACATTATAGACTCCAAATTAAATATCTCTAATGACATTATGGTAAATCTCTGCGTGTCTGAGTTTATGCATCATTTAGCTGATAGATAATGACAGCTTCAAAACCTCTCATTAAGTTGATGAATGATAGATTTTCTTTTTTCCTAAATCATAATGGACCTTATAGTTCTTTGTTTTTGGTTAAATGAATACCTTTTTAGAGAAAAAAATATTCATAACTGAGAGTAAATTTTGGTTATTTTTTTCCAAAGGAGGAATATCTATCAAGGATGTCTGTATTTGTGGCAGGTCAGGTCAATCTTGACTGTAACCATAGTTTAGCTGCTTGAAAAGGTGTCCATTATTGTTCCTACATCCCTCTTTAATGTACTCTCTGCTTTTGCATGGCATAGTGGGAAAATTGGATGGAGAGAGAGGAAAAGACCAGAGAATGACTCAAGAATAGAAAAGAGAAATGGTTGGGCCAAAAGAAATGATTTCTACTCAACGCTCCATAAAGTTTTGCTGAAATTATGACTCAATTTGCCAGACACAGCCCTAAATGGGTAGAGCTTCTCCATGAACTGTGAGAAATAAAAGAGATTTGAGTAGATACTTGAGTACTTACTGTTGCCTGGTACCATGTATTTATATCCAGGCGTTCTTTGTTTTATTGCACTTTGCAGACAGGCATTTTTTACAGATTGAAGATTTGTGGCCACTTTGTTTTGAGCAAGTCTATCAGCACCATTTTTTCAACAGCATTTGCTCACTTCATGTCTTGGGGTCACATTTTGGTAATTCTCAGAGTACTTAAGTAAGGTATGTACATTATTTTTTTAGATAAAATGCTTGCACACATAAAATACTACAGTATAATATAAACATAACTTTTATATGCACTAGGAAACCAAATGTTCATTTGGCTTGCCTTATATTGATGGTCTGGAACCAAACCTACAATATTTCTGAGGTATACCCATACATTAACTAATTTATTTAATCACCTTACAAAAACCTTTGAGATAGAATCTAAATTGGCATTGAATTGTTAGATTTTTTTCAGTTATAATTTAATTTAAAAAATACTTTCTAGTACTTACTGTATGCCTGGCTCTGGAAATGTAACAGTGAACAAAGTCCATGTCCTCATGGGCATTCTGGTGGAAAAAACGAATAGCGAATAAGAGAACAAATAGATAACACAAACTTGATTTCAGGTAGTGATCAATGCTTTAACAAAAATAAAAAACATAATAGGGGAATAAAAAGTAACTTGGAGAAGGGGTGTAGTTTTAACAGAGTAGTCAGAAAAAGAGATGGTAACATTTAAGCAGATACCAGAATGACTGAACCCTGCAGTTATGTGAGAGAGCAGTGTTCAGACAGAGAATACAACACGTACAGGACCTGGGTACAGGTGAGCCTGCTGTGTTCAAGCAAAAAGACTGATGTGTCTGGAGCAAACTGAGCCAGAGAAAAAGTGGTGGGCCCTAAGGGATGGAGAAGGAGCCAGGGCAGAACGTGGAGATCTTACAAGCCATGGTAAGGCCTCTGAATTTTGTCCTCCATGTGGTTAAGAAGCCATGGGAGGGTTTATACAAACAGGGAAGTGTCCTTTAGAAAGATCACTGTGCTGCTGTTTGAAAAATAGACTGTAGGGGACCTCAAGGAGAAACAGTCCAGCTAGGACAGTGTTTCAGGGTCCCCATCCAGAGATATTTTTGGATTTCTAAAAAGATTCCCCAAGAGATTCTAATGTACATCCAGGGTTAAGAAATGTTGGTTTACATTTAAGAGAAAGGAATTTGATTGAAAAAATACTGCTGCTTCTCCAAAAAGAAAAACATTAAAATTGTTTTAGGATACATCCTTCCTTGTCACCGAAATAACTGTTTTAATAAATCCTACGTGTATTGATTTAAGACCACCGAGTATGAGTTTCTGTGGGGTTTTTTTTATGGTTGTTTTTTTTTTTTAAGTTCTGTGTCTATTTTCTCTCTCCTTTCTCCTCTTCACCCCGCTCTTCCAGCTCTCTAATCCTTCTGTTCTTCCCACAAAGGAACTTGGAAAATCGTGGGAGGAAGTTCAGTTGGAAGATGATCGGGAGTTGCTAGACCATCAGGAAGAGTAAGACTTGTTACTGCTGCTAATTAATTGTGGTTGTTTTAAGAGTAGGAAAACATTTCTTCAGTTGGTTTAAAATGATCATTCTGAAGAGAGAATAGAAATAAAAAAGACTTTCTTTTTAAGCCATCCATCCTTCCATGTATTAGTGCAAAAACTTGAATTCAAAGTAACTTCGGCATAAAAATCATTAAAGCGACTGTTACTCTAACTAAATAGTTTTTTGCCTTTAAAACTGTTAATTGGACACACAGGTAAAATATAGTGCAGAGAAAAATACCTTCTATTGGTGTTTTGCTCACTTGGTTGGTGCCCAGACCTTGAAGTGATATGATTAGAGAATATAATGGAAGTGAAGTTCACCTTGTTCCATGTTCATCCCATTGAGTCACTGAAAACTCGAGTCACTGGAAACTCACAGCTCCTTTCCTTGGAGTTACAGCCTTGAGACATGTGTTTTTCAACCTAAAAGGATTCCCTGTTACTCATCCGCTTTTCCTTCAAAGCCATTTGGCCTTTTTTTCTCTCCTGGAATTTCAGTTTTCCAGGCTCAGGAATGAGAAGAAGTTGGCAGTATCTCCAAAAATAAATGCAGGGGGTGGTGGGTCGGCAGGAATTGTAGGTAAAAATGGGTCCTGTATGATTTTTAACTTCTCTGTCTACCACCAGATTTAACACTTGTCCCATTTGAATGATCAGCATTTCTCACATGAAGGATGTACGATTTGCTTTTTAAAACACACCGTTTGTCATGCAGAGACATACTCCCAGCCTTACACTTCACAGCATGTGTACTTAGTGGTTGTGGCTAATGAGAGAGAGCATCGCATCTCTGATAGGCCTCCTTTGCAAATTAAACCTGGCTGTGTCAGAAAGACATTATCCTGATTCTGCAGTGAAATAGCTGCTCAGAAGAGAAGCAGATAGAAGAAAATGGAGCAGCACCTGTTCGCTATTTATATTAATTTCATGGTGCTGCTCTGAATTTCAAAAGCTGTATCAAAAAGTCATAATATGATGTGACAATCTTTACAGCGATGTCAGAGTTGAAAGAGATTGGCAGGGTTTCCTAGGGAGGAGAAAGTAATACCAAGTGACTGTGTGAGGGGAATCTCCGTATTTACTATTTTCTTTTTTAACACAGCGACTGGTCTGATTGGGAAGAGCGCCCTGACTCTGCTGTCTGCCTATTTTGTGAAAAGCAAGCAGAAACAATTGAGAAATTATGTGTCCACATGGAGGTAAGATGCTTGTATTCGTCTGAATTTTGTTTTCTTCTGGCAGGGTGGCTGATAGCAGTAGCAGTCTTATCAGCTTCTATGTTTAATTTCTGTCATCCTGTTCCTAAAAATGCGATAAGCAAAACGAGAGACCGCCAGATCCGTCAAGGAGAACCAGAACTCAGGACAGTTGAGTACAGGGCACTGGACCTATGTGAAAGGTCAGCATAGGAGTTCGCAGACTATTTGTGCTGTCCTTCCTCTCAGATCTTTGTAGATAATTCTCATTTAGAATGCAGGACCTGTATCCATGATTAACAGTGCTCAAGATATAGACATGTTCTAGGTCTTTTTCCACTGCTTCCTGTGCTGGTAAGGAGAGCAGAAGGGAGAAGGTTGCCCTTCACAAAGCCCTTGATGAAATGGGGGACACCGGCAGAGAGGGTGCATGGTGTGGCTGTGCAGCTCCTTCAGTTACAACAATTTGGAGGGAAGAAATGTGAGGGCGTTTCCAGCCTGTGTGTTCTTTTCTGGATGCCATTTTTATGTTACAATTAAGCTTGAAGGTAACAATCCTAAACCTTCTTTTCATGCCAGTGTATCTGAGAGACGACACACTCCCAACACCTCTGATCCTAAGCTGCACAGTGGGGGGTGGGAAGGGGGACATCTAATGATTCAGGACGGTAGCGCAGCTTGGGGGGAGAGGGGTGATTATAATAGAAAAATATCGCCGGATGATTCTCATATGCTCTCCCTACCCTCCCCCGGCCGTCTCTGCCAACCGTGACGCAGAGCATCCTGTTTCACCCACCTTCTCCCCACTCTCATTCAGACGCACTGTTCTCAATTCCGTAAAGTAAGAACTTAGAAGGTATTCAAAAGGCCACGAGCGTTTACCCTATGAAAGCAGAGAGTAATTTTCTCTGAAACAGGTTGCTGATAGTATTGTGTGTATAGTTTCTAGTATTTAAAATTAATTCATAATATCCTAAAATCTTTGAACTGAAGGAAGTCTCAGCCCCCCACCCTGTGTAGGAATTCCCTTTGCAACACCCTTGACCCGTGTCCACGGCCTCTGCTCAGTCACTTTCGGAGATAAAGAGTCAATGGTGTTCCTAATCATCCTGCCTCTGATGTGACACTAAATGCCTTCACAGGGAGTTAGATGGTCTTTATTCTCTGTAAGCTTTTAAGTTCAAACATTTACCCAGATGGACGATTGCAGGAGTGGAACAGAATAAAATAAGTCTGCATTGTAAAAATCAAAAGAAATGTAATTTGTGGGAAGATGTGAGTGAAGAGAAATTTGCATTAAGCAGTGTACTTGACAGCATAAAATGAAAAGCAGATTTGCAAAATCACCTACCTGCTTATGTAGCAAAGGACCTATATCCATAATTCGAGTCCAGGCGCACAGTATGGTAAGTAGGGCCACGTCTTACTAGAGACTGGGGACACTTTTGTCAGACTGCAGAATGCATACATAGTAAATTGTGAAAACTGTAGATACAAACTGTGAATAATTAAAATGTTTTAGCTGATTGGCATGACTTGTTTGGACTGTGCTTTAAAAAGTAGTTGGATGTGGGGAGGGAAACAGTTACATTTCGACTACTTCAGAAGCAGAAGATGATGAACTGAGACTGAGTTTCAGCAGTGTTCAAACTCCTATGAATAAGCTGTCTGTTTATAACTTCAGCCTGAAAGATTAAATAATTTATATACTCACAGATATTCATTCCTTTTTTTAGGAAGCACACGATTTTGATCTCCTCAAAATAAAGTCAGAACTTGGTAAGTTTGATTCAGAAGTTGTTTTCCATGATGCTGCATTTTTATACACTATTCTGTAAACGATGCCTGCGTTCAGTAGTCGTGATTGGGGAGTGCACAGCCAAAATGTGTCTCTCCACAGATGGTCTCAGCAGGACTGCCTGAAGCAGTGATTCACAACCATTTTGAACTGTAACGTTCAAATATGGTTTTTGGTTTCATATGGTCTTCCTTCTTTCCTACATATATGAATATGCTTCAAATAAAACACAAGTTAATGATTAGTATCTTTCATAAAGTGGAAGGGGCTGATGGGAAGACCATGGATTTTGAAGTCAGAGCTCAGATTCCAGCCCCAGCCCTTAATGGCTGTGTGACATAAGGCCTCAGGTCAACAGACTGTTACAGGGAGTGGAGAATGTATACAAAACACCTACTGCACTGTTTGACAGTGTAGCTAGATTATTTACCATAGACAGATGTACCCAATTGCATCATTCTCAGTGTCACTGTGATAGAAAGATTAGGGGCATAAAGATGTAAATTACTGACTTGCTAATGGCTCAAAGATTAGAAAGTTTACCTCCCACACCTCAGCCTCACTGACTATTTTCCTAGACTCTGGAAAGTGTTACATTACTTTGCTGTCCTTACAGATATGTATGTATGTCAAATCCTACCTCAACCACTTACAAACTGTGTAGCTGTGGACAGTTTCCTAACACATAATGTGGACATGGTAGTACTACCTATGTGGTAGAGTTTTTCAAGAATTAAATGTATTAATTAATTAATACATGGGAAATGATTAGAACAGTGCTTAGCACATAAGCCCTATATAAGTATTGGCTGTTGTTATTTGGTATCTATTATTACGCTTTACAATTGTACTGCCTCTTCAGGTTGGGTAATAAAGGGAAGTGGCTCTTTTGCAAAAATGGGTCTGACCAGTTGTCTAGTGATTCTGTAAACTGTCATTTTCAGGATTGAATTTCTATCAGCAAGTAAAATTGGTCAATTTCATTCGAAGGCAAATTCACCAATGTAGATGTTATAGTTGCCATGTGAAATTCAAGTCCAAAGCAGAGTTAAGGACTCACATGGAAGAGACTAAACATACATCACTGCTTCCTGAAAGAAAGATATGGGATCAACCAGAGTGAGTAATCCTTAATGTCCTATGTTTTCAGTACTTTGCTCCATAGCCCTTATTTGTTCCTTTATTCAGTTAAATAAAAGAGAAACGTATGTTTATTGTAAAAAGTAAAAATTTTCAAAAACCTTATTTTTAAGGGGCGCCTGGGTGGCTCAGTCAGTTAAGAGTCCGACCTCAGCTCAGGTCACGATCTTGTGGTCTGTGAGTTCGAGCCCCGCATCAAGCTCTGTGCTAACAGCTCAGTCTGGAGCCTGTTTCAGATTCTGTGTCTCCCTTTCCCTCTGCCCTTCTCCCACTCGCACTCTGTCTCTCTCTTTCAAAAATAAATAAACATTAAAAAATATATATTTTAAACCTGATTTTTAAAGTAATCCCCCTTTTATAAATGTAACCAACTATTTCAGATTTTGTGGTATGAAGATAGATAAAGATGTAGATATAGAAGTATCAATTTTTAAAATTATGTTAAGAGAATGTTGTAAGCATTTTTCTATACCAATATACATCTATTGCATCATTTTTTAGGGTTGCCAAATATCCCATTCACTAGATCTACCTAATTTGTTAGATAGTGAGATTACTTCTTGCATTTTGTTCTTATAAATAGTAACACAATGACTATCCATACGCCTGCATTTTTGCACACTGATCTAATTTTTCATTTAGATAAGCTCCTAGAAATAACATTACTGTGTCGAAGAACATCCAACTATTAGGGCTTCTGGTATATACTTTGCATCTCAGTACTTTATAAATGTTAAGCAGTTGGCCCACAGATCTATACCTCCGTAGGTGGTATCAGACTGCCAGGTATCCTTTGCCAGTTCAGCCTTCTGGGCTGGTCCTCATATCAGTCTGGACAACCTCAGCTGAGGGAACCTCTGAGAGGTTATAGGGTTCTAGCTACCTGGAGGTTCCTCTCAGAGAACGTTAAATCTGCACCACCACCCCCTCCCCACTCCACCCCTGCCCCCGAACACTAGCCGAAAAGCGCTAGATTTTCATCTTTAAAAAATCCTAGATTTGTGAAAGACAAAGTCATTTCTGGATTGACCTGAGACCCTGTTCCTATAATTCTCATTAAGTAAGTTGAAATCTTTAGAGATACACCAGAGCTAACTCCTAAATGTGTCCAGAAAAGGAACCAGAATAATAGACTTAAAATTCTGTAGATGTTTGATTTTTGTTCACCTAGAATGAAGGAACCAGTAATGATTAGGTTGGGAAGGACACACACACACACACTCTCAAGGGAAATTGTTTTCATCAGATATATGAAGGATTAATGTACGAAAGAGTAGCCATATTTGAATTTTGTTAACCTCTAGGGAGGAACTGGGACTTAGAGTAAAAATGAAAGGGTTGTCATTTTTAGCCTTATCTGTGGAGATATCCCTAGCAACTAGAGCTGCTCGGTTCTAGAGTAAGCTGCCTTTTCAGGTAGTGAGTTTCTGTGGAATATGAAGCACAGGCCAAATGGGCAGCTAGCAAGGATACTAGCAAGAATGATGTCATCCAGTAGAGGTCAAAGTAAAAGTAATTCACAAGTTATTTCCCCATACCACCTTTGCAAAATGCTGTTGAAACTGTTGACAAAGAAACCTGGCAGAATTATAGTAACATGTATGTTCGTTTGCCTAGAAACTTTTCTGGATTTATTCAACATGTCTTTGGTTGTTTTCAGGTATTATTTTCCAACGTATGAAAACGATATTCTACTATGTACACTGTCTGACAGTGAAAGTGACCTGACAGCTCAGGAACAAAATGGAAATATCATCATCATCAGCGAAGATACATCTAAACTGCATGCTTTGAAACAAACCAGTATTTTGAACCAGTTGCTACTACATGAGGGCTTGAAAAACTAGAAGAAAATGCCACAGAAGCAACTTTTCATGTTTTTCGCTTATGAGACAGACTCAGAAAAATTGTTTAAATTTGAACATCAGCAAAGGATTAGACCCTGGTGAAATAAAATTTTTCAAAAGTACTTTTTAAAAAATAAAGTGAGGACTTTTTGTATTTTGGCTATAACGTTTTACTATGTAATCATTATAAATGATCTCATTTCATTAGACTAGGTTATCTATAATAAGGAGGACATGTGGGGTGCCTAGTTGGCTCAGTTGGTGGAGCATGTGACTCTTGATCGCAAGGTCATGAGTTTGAGCCCCATGTTGGATGTAGAGATTACTTAAAAAAAATTTTTTTTAATAAGGAAGACATGCAAATCACAAATGAAGTGTTCAAATTATTGATAAAGTTTTTTTCCTCTATCACCCATTCTCCTACAGACTGGTAGATGTAAGAAGTTCTATCCCTGTTGTATCACACCAGGCATGTAATATCCATGTACCAGTTTTAGGGATGTGAGAATTGACAGTCCACTCAGGTGTTGTCAGCCAGTGGATTCTTAGAAAGTTCCCCATCGGTCTTTCATCTAACCAGTTTAGTATTCATTGGTAATTGTTACCTATTATTTTTTGTAATGGCTGCAAAATGATGATTTTTCTAATTCTATCAGTTCTTTTACAGTGGGTTCTTTACACAGCATGTGTGCTATGGAGCACTGGAGTTTTAAGTTCTAGTTTTCAATTGTTAGTACCAGTCTGTGTAGGCAGTGCCCAAAGACTAATCTTGAAGTAATATAGACTGTCCAGAGTCTCAAGCCTAATCTCCTACCATATGATCCAAAATTGACTGGATTTGTAAGTTATATAGGCTCTGACCATGGCTTTAGATTTCCAAGCCTCCAGCTTTGCAGACACCTGCACAAGGCTTTTATTAAAAATCAAGCAGAGAAATGCAAGCCCTTATTATAATGGAAAATGCCTAAATTAAAGACACAATTGATCTAAATTGAGTTTATGTTTATTTATTTACTTTGAGAGAAAGAGACTGAGTGAGTTGGTGAGGTGCAGAGAGGAGAAAGAATCCCAAGCAAGCCCCGCACCATCAGTGCAGAGCCCTACACAGGGCTCAAACCCATGAATCATGAGATCATGACCTGAGCCAAAACTAAGAGTCAGACGCTTAATCGACTGAGCAACCCAGACGCCCATGATTTAAACTTTTTTAAAATCAAAGATTAATAAGACAGTTAGTCTGTGCCTAGAACCTTATGTCTCTAGGAATCAGATTTGTTCAGGAAATCAGAGAATGTCTAGAGTGTTTCTAGAATATGTTTTAATCTTAGAACAAGCGCTATGAAAGAACAAAATTAAGAATAATTTGCGTGTGAAGGAGAAAGCTCTTTTGGAGATAAAGTTGAGGTCTTAGAGAACAGATCAGATGGATATATAAGGAAAAATGAAATTGAAGGACAGGTAAAAGGGAAAAGATGATGTACTTAGGTTTAATTCATATAAGAGGTTATCTTTTTTAATGACTAAGATGTTTTGGAGGGTACTTTTTTTTTAGCTCAGAAATAATAACTTATCCCCAAAAAATCAAACAACAATAGAAGCAAAATCTCAGCCAACTGTGCTGACTCTCAGAGGGAGCAAGATGATAGACCACTATTGGCAAAGTACTCTCTTAGAGCTACACAGAGAAGAGACTCTTTGGCAAGAACCATTGAAATCTCCTTCTTAAAAACTGAGACACTAAAGCCAAGTGTACCCTGAAAGGTTGGACAGTTCAAAAGGAAAGGATCAGTCAGGTGGAAGTAAACTATTCAAGGGAATACTGAATGGGTTTCCAGATGTCACTAAAATTATAAATAGGGATACCAGTGCTCCCTAGGCCCAGAGGGAACACACCTGACAAGTTTTGAGAATTAAGACTCTTAAGTAAAGCCAACCAGAAAGAAGAAACGTATCAGAGAGCCAGGCAGAACAGTGATAAATGAATCTGAGCCTGGATTGGCTGTTAGCCTAATGAGAAAATACATGCTGATTATCAAACTCTGAAAGGTGAGAGTGAGGGGCCAAGGTTTTTTTTTAAACAATGGTTGCTTTTGGCAAACCAGAACCTAGTGATTTATCTCTCAAAACAGAAGACCCCATTAAACAAAATCTAGAATAGAGTGTCAGGTTAAGTGCATGTCCAGGACAGAAAGGAAAGAAAAAAGAAAAAAAAGAAAGAAGAAAGAAAGAAAGAAAGAAAGAAAGAAAGAAAGAAAGAAAGAAAGAAAGAAAGAAAGAAAGAAAGAAAGAAAAAAAGGAGGCATCAGATTCTACAAATATTAGGCCTATATTAGAGAAGGAGTATTAAGGAAGAAAATGAATTGACTTAAGAGGTAAGTTATATTGTGACAAACCCAGCTCTTCCTCCTTGAAAGGTATAGAGGGGAAATCAAGTGCCAGGACATACCCACTACTGCTGACAAAGGCAGAGGGGAGGGAAATACTCTTGGAGGCCTGGACCAATCAAAAGCAAGGGATGGACGGCTGAGGGCTCCGCAGTGGTATCTGTCTTCACCAGTGCAGTTTTTCTGGTAGTCCAGTTGTCCCCAGTATTCATTCTCCCTTTCTTAAATAATAAGTTTAGTTGGGTGTATGGCTTCCTAGAATGAAGACTACATTTCCTAGCCTCTCTTGCAGCTCAGGATACTTGTGTGTCTACATTGTGGTAAATGAGATGTAAACAGAAAAGTCAACTGTGACAGCTTCTAATAGTCTGCCTTAAGATGCTAGACATGGCACCCTCTGCTTTCCTTTCATCCTTTCCTGCTCCTGTTGCCGAAGATGTCTGCATACAGGACAGACTGGTCAAATCATGCATTTGACACTGTTGAGAGCAGCAGTGTCAAAGGAATCCCTGACTGGAGGCTACACCAGCCCGGGAACACTGACCTAGACATTTATGTGAATGAAATAAATGTCTACCTTCCCATTGTTATTTGGGGAGTTTTGTCATTGGCAGCTGAATCTAGAGTGTCAGCTGCAGAAATGTCCATAGCAGCTTTAGTTCAGGAATCTGCTGAGGATATTTCCCAGTTGAAACAATGGGATGAAGAGGAAACTACCCTTACAAGACAGGCTTTCTAGGCATGTCATTCCACAACAAAGACCCAACAGCAGAAGCCAGTGTGGAAAGCATGTGGTTATTTAAAGCCCACATCTCATGGATCAGGTGGGAGATGTTGGAGACGAAGGGCTCAAAAGGGAAATGAAAAGTTAAAAAGTTCTTAAGATGCAAGATGGGAAAGAAAGACCTCTCCAGGCAGACTCTCGATAGGGCTTGCCATCACTGCATATTTCTAAACTTTGCAAGAATGCAAATATCACAGGGAAGAGAAATTCTCTGCCCTCTTAGGGTTCTTCAGCTGGTTCTGCAAACTAATTAGACAGATTCATATGAGAAAAAAATACAAAGTTATTTGATATTAAAAGTTTTACACAGTGAGGGGACTCCCTAGAAAGAAAAAGAAACAAATAGCTAAGCTTGGGTGCTCTTGTACCATTTAAACAAAAGAGAGAAGCGTCAAGACAAATGAAAAAGACTTTGAGCTTCTAGGGGCAGGATATTGCAGGAAGGCAAATATATGGAAATTAATAATAGGTAAGGGGTACTTGATAAGGTTGGTTTGTGTAGACTCCTTCAAGATGCCATCTCATCTCTAGTGATAAGGTTGTCATTCCCTTCCTGGTGTGGAAACGAGAATGGTGGGGGGAAGGAGGAGATACCTTCATAAGGGGAATTTACCTTCTTGTTTTCAGGTAGACAGGATACCACAGAAAGCTCATCCTATGCCTACTTTTTCTCATTTGCTTTCAGCTCAAAATAATCCTTATGCCAGAGTGGCAAATATTGAGGTGGCATATTCTGATCTCTTACGGTCACCTGTGTCAACCTGAGAGAAATAGTAGTCGATTCTTCCCGCAGGAATGGTAAAGCATGTTGCCAATGCTAACCTCTTGGGGGAGATTCCTCCCAATTGAGTTTAAATTTATAGATCAAGGACTTCAGCTTCCTGCTGAAGCTGAAATCAAGATCACTATGGAAATTGCAGGGTTCTGTTCTGGGAGCATCATTTTTCGTTGATAATTGAAGATCTTGGTATTGATTTGTTTTCTTTTGCTTAGCTATGTTGGTGTTAAGTGTTTTGATTGATACTCTTTAAAAAAGCGAGGCATAGCAGAAACTTGGTGTATAATTTAACTTTTGAGGTTCTGAAAAAAGCCGCGCTAGTGGTTCTAGTGGGACCTTGTCCAGGTTGCTGATAGAACCACAGTGCTATCCAAGGCATGAAGAACCCCCCAGTTCAGAACGAGCAGAATCAGAATCATCAGAAGGATGAGTTTTATATTCTAATGTCTTTGTCTTTAACTCAAGCATGCAAGAGAATCTCATCTTTGAACTTTTTCCTCCCTGGGAAATTCACAATGGTAGAGGAATTATATTTAAATTGGGGGGCATCAATATTTTACTGAAATTTTGTTATTGAAATATCTTTACGTTGTCATATAATCTCTTTTTAGAACCTCTGATAGACTGTCCAAACAACATGGTTAGACTTAATTAGGGCTGCAAAATGAAATGGGGAGCTTTCAGCTGGGGTTCAGCGTGGCCCTGAAATTCAGTCAATGAATTGGCTTCTGAGGGCCGTAGCTATGCTCTTCAGCCATTCAGATGGGAAAAGTCAGGGGATGTGCTTGTGGTGGGAGCAGCACTGTTAGGATAGACTGCTGATCTCCTGCCAAGGAGATGGTCACATTCTTGGATGGCCTTGAGCTTAATGGTTAAGCCCAATGAGCTAAGAGGAAAAAAACCCTGCGAATGTTGGAAAGAGGAACTTCTTTCCCTAGCGTCCTGTTACAATGAGAAAAGGAACCCATTATAATAACTTTCTTGGTTTCTTTCTTCCCCCCTGTCACTGCTGTGAGGGAGGAGAATGAATTTTCTGACTGGAACAGGAACTAGGCACATATGATTCAACCCCTTCCTCCTCCTTTTTTCTCTCGGATCTGTCTGTCTGCAGACAGAGCACATCCTGTTCTGCTCCTCCATTA